AGAGTTAGTTATGGCTCCCAAAGATTTTCTAAGTCACTATGATCATCAAGTATTTCATTGCCAAGCTTTACAGTATGCCTAAAGCTGTTATCCATCTCTGAAAACCACTACTTGTTTCCACTCATATGGTTGCTACACCCTAAGTCAAGAAACCATTCATCTTCCTTTTTGCTTTGTTTGAAATCAACATAGGCCATTAGCTAAAGCTCTTCTTCGTCCTCCACGTTAGCGTAATTTACCCTTTTCTATCGGTCAAGACATTCATATTGATAATGTCCAAACTTGTGACACTTAAAGCACTCAATTTTGGCTTTGTTTAAGAACTATCATCCTCTTCCTCTACCTCGACCACCTTTAAAAAGAGCCTCTATTTCTTCCTCTTTATTTTCCTTCTTGATCATCCTTGGTAATCATTAACACTTGTTCTTCTTCTCCATGGCTCTTCATTCTTTGCTCATGAACAAGAAAACTTTTTTTGCAACTCATCAATTGTCATGATATCCAAATTATTGGATTCCTCAATCGAACACACAACATAATTAAGCTTAGACGCCATGCACTTCAAAATTTTCTTAGTTATGACATTTTCATGCATAATCTCACCACAAGCCTTCATACTTTTTGCAATAGTTAAATTACGAGCAAACTAGGAATTAATTGTCTCTCCTCCCTTCATTTTCATAACTTCAAAATCTCTACGCAAGGCCTGCAATTGTGCTCTTTTCACCCCCTGTAGAATCTTGGAATTTATGCTTCATTGAATCCCAGATGTTTTTAGATGTGTCGTCATTGAGGTTTGTGCCTGGAATTTCATGATCAATAGCTTGATAAAGATAATTGTTTATATTCAAGTCCTTTAACTTTTGCTCTTCCATCAATTTAAGTTCTAGCTTTGTTGGCACTACTCCACTTGCTACTACTGAGATCCCCTTCTCTACAAGACTCCAACACTCTTTGGAACAAAGAAAGTTTTCCATTAATTTTGCCCAATGGTCATAATGGCCATCAAATTTGGGGATGGCAAGCTGCACCTACTTGCTATTACTACTTTCTACCATTCTTTTTAACACTCTTTTTGAAAGGAATTTGTTGTTTCTTTTCACTTACTCACAACTGTTTCTCTCACACTCAATTAGATTTAAGATCAAGCCCCCTATGAAAGAGCTCTGATAGCAATTGTTGAACACAGAAAATATGACACTAAAAACTGGTATGTTGAAGGAATGTGTTATTCAATTTAAAGCAACATATTAACTTTATAACCTACAAAATAACAATAACAAAGTAATAACCATACCCACAATTTACATGCTCAACAATATACACGACGGTTAGAGGAAAGCTATCAAAACTTTATAAGCATATCTCTAAAGAATAACACTTAAACTAACAAACTAATTTACTGAATTAAAATTGAATAACAATCACATTAAAAAAACGATTATATCTCCTAATAGCCACCATTCAATTATATTAATTTTATGTGTAATGATAGAGTAACTTTATTCTGGATCATGGAATTTTCCATTATTGTGAATGTATCTTAAGCTAGTACCCATATTCTTTAAGATAAGATTATGTGGGTCAATGTAATTTGTTTTATAGGTTGGGCTATAAGTCCAATCCGTAACAACTTGAATAGCTACATTTAGAGAATAATCTCGTTATGTAACTTAGAAGTACCATACAAGAGCTTCTTAAATAAAAAACGCAAACCATGAATACAACACTCACTAGATAAAGTGAGCTCCTCTAGCGGAATCAAACTTTCAATAAAGGAAATTTTTTTTGCCCTCTTCCTAATGGGATATGCCATATATATTGTATGATTGAATGTGCGAGTGGAAAATTTGGTTGCACTTTTGTGTCTTGGTGGACATGAATATTAGACGATAAGTAGAAAAAATAAAATAAAATTGAAATGATACTCTCTTTGAGTGCCATGGGAGATTCGGCCATCACAACAGTTGGTATTATGAAATCTTACAGTGCTTAAGAAAAGAGAACTTTAGTTGCACTTTTTCACTTTAAATTTCAGGTTGTCATGGTCTAGGAATATTAGAATAATCTAAATCTGCAATGCCATTTGCTGCATGTTGTTGGCAGTCACTTTTCTTCCCCACACGTACGGTGGAAGATTCACGTTTCATGGTTGGAAAGCAATGAACAAACCACAGTTTACAAACCCACACCTAGTCACCTACGTGTTGAGAGGTTAGAATATTCTTAATTTAATAACTCCGTATATTACAAATTGCATAAATACTATCACGTGAAATATTATGCAGTTAATATTCCAACCCCACAACAGCCCAAAAAGAGAAAAAAAAAAAAAAAAAACTACACCCTGAAAATCTAATAAGTTAGATAATAGCTAATGTAAGTTATACATATATTCAGAGAAGTATAAGTTATTTAAGTACCAAGTTGGCTCGTTTTTTAGAGATCGTCCTGCTACTCTCAAAATAGATTTTATTAATATTAAAATAATATTTAATTAATAAAAGTTAATTTTATGAGTGCAAAGTAGTTTTTATTGTTAATTGAATATTGTATAAAAAAAGAAAGGAAAAAAAGACTAGAGACTAATGGCTGTGGCTAACACCGGAAATATTCATAATATGTCTTAACCTGTGCTTTTTTCTCCATTAATTTGTTAGCTCAAATACGATCTAAACATGACGGTGGTCCCCAAAAGTGGCTGCACTTTTTCGCTTTTAAACGCTGTGAAGTACACGCGGGACGAAGTTTAAACAACTAGAGAATTATAATATCCACGAGTGTAAGCGAATTCAGTAAATTCAAATTTTTGAGATATTATTTAGATATTAATAAATATTGATTTTTTTAAGATATTATTTAGATTTTAATAGATATTGATTTTTTTAAGATATTATTTGTAATTAAAATATATTGTATTTATTTTATTGATTTATTTTCTCTTTTAAAATTATAATGTAAGGTCAATAAATATATAATTTTGGGATGAGAAGGAACACCCAACTTGTAGAGGAGGTCATCACCTTAAATGAAAGAGGAGGTCATATGAATGAGGGTTTCCAAGTTTTGTCAAAAAACTTATAAATGAAACTTTTTAAGTTTCACTAGAAAACTTGTAAGGGAGGAGTTTTCAAGTTTCACTTATAAAACTTGTAAGGAAGGGGAGATTTTCAAGGTATATGTAATATATTTTAAGATAGATAATGAACATCCTTATGGGCGTAAGCATGAGAGATTGAACCACGTTAAATAAATTTATCCATTCTTTTTCTATTTCTTTTATAATATTATTTTAATATATTTCTCATCATTATTGTGTATAAAAGAAAAAAAAAAGATTTTTTGTTATCAGAACTCATGGTTCGTGGAGCTTGATAACCTGAGTATTGAAGATTGACATACAACAATTCCAATACCTAAGAAATGGAGACAAGAAATACTGTAGAGTAAAAATATAATTAAATATGATTGTGACAAGCATTTATTGCAATAAGAAGGTCAAATTTGAAAATTTTAATTGAGGGAGGAATTGTTGGGAAAACAATTCAAATTTCCAAATTCAAATCTCTAAGATATTATTTAGATCTTAAAAGATATTGATTCTTTTAGGATATTATTTAGAATTGAAATATATTATATTTATTTTAGAGATTTATTTCTTCCTTTAAGATTATGATGTAAGGTCACTCTTGAGATGAGAAGAAACACCCGACCTGTAGAAGGGGTCACCCCCTTAAATGAGAAAGGAGGTCATTTGAAAGAGGATTTCCAAGTTTCGTCAAAAAACTTGTGAATGATACACAGAACTTCAAGTAGTAGATATATTCACTAAAGGACTACCTACTAGCAAATTTGAAGAGTTGATAGGCAAGTTGGGAATGATTGATATTCATTTACCAACTTGAGGGGGAGTGTTGTAAATAAAAATATCTTAGGAGATTTGATATGATCTTTTCTTATTTCTTTTATATTCCCCCCCCCCCCCCAAGAACATGCAATATCTAGAAGTAGATCTCCTATCTGTGACTGACCTTGCGTAGTCTGTATCAATTTCCATAGATATGGTGTCTCCTCTTTTGAATAGTAAGGTCATCAAGAATAATCTTCATCCATAGCCCTTCACATATGCCCTGTGCCAAGGCTCGAAATTCAGCTTTTGCACCAGATCAAGCAACTACATTTTGTTTCTTACTCTTCCAAGTCACCAAATTTCCCCCCAAGAACATGCAATAAATGTTAAGCAAGCCTTAAAGGATCCTAAATGGCTTGAAGCCATGAAACAGGAATATTCTGCTCTTCTTAAAAATAATACGTGGACTCTTGTACAGTTACCTCCTAATAGAAATGCCATTGGCTGCAAGTGGGTTTTCAGAATTAAAGAAAATTTTGATGGGTCTGTAAACAAATATAAAGCCATATTAGTGGCTAAGGGCTTTCTTCAGCAACCAGGTTTTGATTTTAATGAGACTTTTTCACCAGTCATCAAACCTGTTACCATCAGATTGATCCTCACTCTAGCTATCTCAAATCATTGGGATATTCATCAATTAGATGTAAACAATGCTTTTTTAAATGGCTCACTAAATGAAACTGTTTATATGCAACAGCCTCCTGGATTTGAAGTTCATGATTCTACTCTTGTTTGCAAATTAAACAAGGCACTATATGGTCTAAAACAAGTTCCACGTCAATGGTTTGAGCGACTACAATATACTTTACTACAGTTTGGATTTAAGGCCAGCAAGTGTGATCCTTCTCTGTTTACCTATCACAGGCAATCTAATATTGTCTATCTTATTGTATATGTTGATGACATTATAATTATAGGGAATTCTTTTCAGTTTACTCAGCAACTTATAAATCAGCTTAATTCTATTTTTTCCCTCAAACAACTTGGCAAGCTGGACTACTTCTTGGGAATAGAAGTCAGACACTTATAGAATGGATCTGTTCTCCTCACACAAAGTAAATACATCAGAGATCTGCTTCAAAGAACTAATATGCTTGAAGCCAATGCTATTTCATCTCCTATGGTGTCATCTTGCAAGTTATCCAAACATGGTTCAAACACTCTAGCTAATTCTACATTCTACAGATTAGTTGTTGGAGCACTTCAATATGCAACCATAACCAGACCTGAGCTTAGTTTTGCTGTCAACAAAGTTTTTCAATTTATGGCTCATCCTCTTGAAAGTCACTGGAATGCAGTCAAGAGAATTTTAAGGTATCTTAAGGGTACAATGTTCTATGGTCTACATCTTCAACCAGCTCGTGTTCATCAACCCCTTTCACTTTATGCATATTGTGATGTTGATTGGGCAGTTGACCCTGATGACAGAAGATCAACATCTGGGGAAGCTATTTTTCTTGATCCTAATCTGATTTCATGGTGGTCTAGGAAACACCCTGTTGTGGCTAGATCAAGTACAGAGGCTGAGTACAGAAGCTTGGCTCAAGCTACTTCTGAAGTTCTATGGATTCAAACTTTACTTCATGAATTAAGGGTTCCCTTTTCCACTCCTACAATTTACTGTAATAACCAAAACACAGTGTCACTTGCTCACAATCCGGTTCTACATTCAAGAACTACAATTACTATATATATATGTTGGGGTAGAGGGTGTCACAAATGAGATTTTTCTGGTTTTGTCAGAAAACTTATGAGGGAAGGGTTTTCAAGTTTCATCCATAAAACTTGTGAGAAAGGAGTTTTCAAGTTTTACTCACAAAACTTGATGAAGGGAGGATTTTCAATATATATGTAATACATTTTAAGAAAGATAATGAACATTTTTGTGGGCGTAGGAATGAGGGGCTGAAGCACGTTAAATAAATTTGTGCAATATTTTTTTATTTCTTTTATAGTTTTATTTTAATATGTTTCTCATAATTATTTTAATTTAAATTATTTATAGGAAAAATAATTCAAATTTCAAATAAATTGAGTGAAAATTTAAGTAGATATTCTAGAAATTTGTAATCTTTAGGATATTATTTAGATTTACAGATTTTTATTTGTTTTGATATCTTTTAGGGATTTATTTTCTAATTTTTAATTAGGAGGATTATATGATTCAAATTTTGTATTACAATTTTTCTCTATATATAAAGAGTCAAGAAATAAAATCTGGCTTGTGTTCCATTTAAGATCCTTGGATGTGTGGGTAATCTTATTGTGTGAAAAGGAGTTTTTTCCATCAATGGTATTAAAGCTATGGTAGGGAACACACAAAAGTTTGAGATACCTTTATTTGATGGCAAGACAAATTTTATGATTTGGCAATGTACCATTCAAGATATTTTGGTGCAACAAGGTCTTGATCAAACTTTGAAAGATGAAAGCCAAATACTATCAATGAAAGAGAATGAAGTCAAATCCAAAAGAAGGTTATAAGCACGACTCAGTTAGCTCTTACTCTTGAGATTAAGGGCAATGTGTTAAAGGAGACGACATCGAAAGTATTGTGGGAGAAGCTTGAAAACATTTATGTGTTTAAGTCGTTAACAAGTCGTTTATGTTTGAAGATGGAGTTGTATCAACTCAAAATGTAGATGGGAGAAAATCTTCATGATCACATTAATCATTTCAACCAAATGGTATGTCAATTATTTAAATGTAAACAAAAAAATTTCAAATGAAAAGCAAGCAGTGTTATTGTTGGCTTCACTACCAAAGTCCTATAAATCTTTAGTTCAGACATTGCTTGTAAGGAAAATATCATTGAAGTTAGATGAAGTGACATCCGCTCTAAGAGAAAATAAGAGAAAGATGAAAAATGAGAATATTGATATTGAAGGTCATGCACTAATCGTGCAACATTCTAAGAGGGAGAAATAATTCATAGAGATAAGATGAACATAAAGGAAGATCAAATTTCCAGTCACGTCTAGAACGAGATATAATGTGCAATATGTTACTATTGTGGAAAGAAAGGTCACCTATAATCAATGTGTAAAAAAATGAGAGAAGATCTTCAAAAATTGATAATTATAAGGAGAGATGATGACAATTCCCAAGCTAATGTAACTCAAAACCTTCATGATGATGATGATGTCTATTTGGAAACTATTGAGGAAGTTATTAAATCAAAATGGGTAATGGATTCTACTACCTCAAAATACATCTGTAGAGATCAAACAATGTTTCATACTATAAAAACTAATGGTGTGTTTTGGTCAATTCAAGTGAGGAAATAGTTGAAAAATGGAGGTTAATTAAAGGCATTGAGATTGTGAGAATAAAACTTCACAATAGTTTCATCCAAATTTTTGAAAATGTGAGATATGTACCTTTTGCTACATCTAATATAATTTCATTAGGAGAGTTGACATCACAAGACTATAGGTATGTTGATTCAAAATGGGGATGCAAAGTGTACAAGGGGATGCACTTGATATTGCAAGGACAAAAGAATGAGAAAAATCTTTGCTACTTGGAAGGATAAGCTTTGAGAAGATAAATGTTTTAATCAATTAGTTATTTGGAAATTTTATTTAAGGGAGGATTTGTTAAAAAATAATTCAAATTTCAAATAAATTGAGTGAGAGAATATTTAAGGAAATATTATAGAAATTTGTAATCTTTAGGATATTATTTAGATTTATAGATTTTTATTTGTTTTCATATCTTTTAGGGATTTGTTTTCTAATTTTTTTAATTAGGAGGACTATATGATTCAAGTTTTTAATTACAATTTTGCTCTATATATAGAGAGACAAGAAATAAAATCTAGTGCGTGTTCGATTTATCCTTGGACGTGTGAATAATCTAATTGTATAAGGAGGAGTTTTTCCCATCACATGAATCTATTATCTAATCTGGTCAAAATTTTATGGATTGAATCAAATTTATGTAATTTTTTAAAAATTTAATCTAATTCAACCTGATCACAAATGGGTTAGATTAGGTTGCATCAATCAGGTTAACATAATTAAATTGATTTATTTATTTTTTTTATAAAAATATATATTCACTACAAGAAAATTATCATATAATGACACACCCTATAATGACATTATACATGTCATTAAAAGTTACTTTTACCTACACAATAAATACAATATATGTTGGTACATTGTTAAAAAAAATGTGAGTATAGACTATAGTGACATACAAAATATATTGTTAAATTTTATTCAAAATTAATACTAAAATTGTGTGTAACTACATGTAAAAAGGATATATACCTACATATATTATATACCTATAGTGACACTTTTTATATGTCACTATATGTAACATTTCTTGTGGTGATTTCATACTAGATGTAAATTATTTGATATCTTATTACAAATGCAATATTATCAATCGATAAAACAAATAATGATATAAATTAAATTTTAAAATAAATTTATTGATTTGTTATATTGTTATCAACTCAAATAATCAATATTAAGGCAAAATAGAATTTAAAATAAATATATTATATTATTAAAATGTTATTAACTCAAAAAAAAATTCATTATTAAATAAGAGTGATAAAGTTTGTCTTGAATTAGTAGTCATACTAACTTCTTCTTCTTCTTCTTATTATTAATTATTATCATTATTATTATTATTATTATTATTATTATTATTATTATTATTATTATTATTATTAATATTATTATTATTGGGTCTGGTTGAGTCATAGGTCAAAAGAAACAAAAAACTCATTACCCAACCCTCGTAATATCACATTTTGGTCGGGTTAGATTAATGGATATGACTCAAACACTAAAAAAATCAAATCCAAACTTATTGGATCAATTTGAGTGAGTTTGTACTTGTTTACATCCATAACACTAGATAAAGTTTCACCTATATACTCTTCTTATTGCACGTACTGTAGAAATTGATTCTAAGACAACTAAAGTACTCCTTTTTTTCTTTCATTTACTTTTGGTTATTTAGGTTCTTAGAATAGTATTTTTAATCTACTTGTTATAATTAATTATAACATTTTGTACTAAGAGAGAATGTGTGTACGTGTTGTGCGGGCAGCATGCCACGTGGCATACAACTGCATGACTTAGCCAAATTCGTGTGAAACCCTTCGACAGTCTCGTCTTGGATCTATCAGTCTCATCGGCTGACGACACTCCAAGACATACTAGATAAGATCACCACATGGGGCACTACACCAAGGAATATGTATTCGGTTCGGCCATCTCGACCATACTAGTGGTCGAGGCTCCGAAAAACATACAATATGGTTCAAACAACCCGATACACCAGAATTGGATGTCTCAACTATCTTAGTCATCGAAATGCATGACCCTCTTCCATGAGTGACCCTTGCCCTCCCGACCAAGCCAAAAGCCAAAATTGCCAAGACGATGTCATCATCGAACCTTGTTATAACTAGTCGCATAATTAACAAAGATAATGCAAGGTTAGGAGATAATTCGTTATTAGCCATCGTATTACCTAATTGGTAATTAGGGAACGAGGCCCACGATGTCTAACCCCATTATGGTCAGTATAAATAGTCACATAAAAGGAGGTATGATTATTGTTCATTTATTCCTACTATCGATATTCATGCTTGTCCTGACTTGAGCGTAGAGTGCCTTTTGCAAGTACCTCCCCCCTGTATTGCGACTCGAAACTCTCGTTCGACCCTCAGGATACAAGAAGATTACTAGTGTACCCTCTAATAGGTACATTTTGGCGCCCGTTATGGGGTCAATTCGAAAGCTCTAAGAAGACAAATTGAATGACAAGTTAGACAATGGTGACTACAAGAAAGACTATAGTTGAAGACCCCCGGTTTGAGGAGGACCATATCAAAGTGGTCGACGAAACAAATCTCTTGGAGGCTGTACACCAGCTGAGGGAAGAAATGGAAGCCATGAGACAATAGAGAGAGAAAGATGCGAGGGAAATAACTACTTTAAGAGAAGAAAATGTTGCGTTGAGAAATCAGAACCCCTCTTGGAAACCTTCCGAGCCTACTTGAATGCAAACATAAGGGTCGTTCAAGTATCGCCCTTGAAAATTTCCCCTAGGCAATTCAAATTGTTGGTCAACCTATCCACAATGCCTCGGTTGGAGCACACCGCCACCCTTTCACTTTGACAATCATGCAAGCTCCACTCCTTGACCATTGGAAGTCCCTCCCCTTAGACAAATATGATGACACGATAGACCCCGATGAGCATGTCGATGTCTTCCTCACACAAGTGACGCTTACCACAATCAAAGATGTCGCCTTGTGCCGAATCTTCTCGACATCATTAAAAGGATGAGTAATAAACTAGTTCACATGCCTTCCCCTTCATTCCATTAACTCTTTTGACACGTTGGTCTCTTAGTTCACTATCCAATTTGCAACCAGCCAGCCACACTGATGGAAGAACTTTGGAGGGGACCGGATTGATGTAGCTCCCTTCAAGTCTTTCCCTAGATCTTTGGCTCCTAGAATCCTTCCAATGCTTGTGTAAGGCTCCAATGGAGGGAGGAACCTCACGGCCACCTTAAGATGGTGGGGGAAACCTCTCAAGAATGCGCCACTCTTGGTGAAGGGATAAGCACTCTTCAATCCGCCACACTTGTCTTTGGAGAAGTGATAAGAGATTGGTTTTGCACAAAGAGATTTAGGACCTTTGGGAGGAGAGAATTCTGATCTCTAATCTGAACACTCAATTCTCATTAATGCCAAAAGTGTTATACAAGTGAAATTTTGAAGCTATATAGGCGTGGCCACCTAG